GGAAGCTGTTTTGGTTAAAAGTTAAACGTATTTACAAATTTTTAAAATTTACATTATTTTTAACAAAAATATTTTTAATTGCAATAAAATCGCATTTTCTTCTTCAGTTTTAGATCATTAATGCCCGGCTGCACCAATCAATTTTAAATTTATCAGTCTGTTAAAATTTAAAATGGCACAATTTTGTTCGGAAAAGTAATCATTTTAAACTTTAACAGCCTGATAAATTTAAAATTGATTAGTGAAGCTTTGGATAAGTCGTATAATATTTTTTTTTGTCACAAAGTTTTTCGCTAGTACATATTATGTTTTATAGCTTTTATTTTGGTTGCTTGAAAAAGAACTTAGCCGTTGGTGTAAATTTTCTTGAAGAACTAAATATGCGAGCGTTTTTTTTCTTGAGATCTTCAGACTGATTTAAGAAATTTGTATAAAAAAAATTCTACTCTCTACTCAAAGTTTTTTTCACAGTATCTCGGAGGTCGTTTTTTGGCGCGTATTTTCAGCTGTGGGTTCACCAATAGGCCGAGCCCATGAACGATTATTCTCAGTCAGTTGAAACTGTAACTAGCAAATAGTTTTTGTCCTGTTATCAATTCGATTTTTCTCGGATTCTAAAGAGTTTTATTGTGGCGAAAATAACTACGTGTGGGTAAGGACTACCGGTGAAACCACAAAAAAATAAAACGCGCCTCTGAGGTGGTGTGGAAAAAAGTTTTGAGTAGCTTCTCCCTTGCCGCTGCATTGAGCGCGTTGTTAGTCGAGATCTACATGTCGTACGTGAACAAATAAATAATGGAAATTTTGTGCTCCAACTTATACACTGATCACTTCACTTATTTGTCACTTATTTCAAATAGAAATTGCTCAAAATTCGAAAAAACCGCGCCACTTACCTGATTTTGGGCATTTTTTGCATATTGTCTGCAATAAATAATTGTTTAAAAAAATTATGGGCACATGAAAATTGTAGGCAATCCAATTCTCTACAAATTTGTTTACCTTTTTTCGCGAGAAATGTAAAATTCTCGCACAAATCGTAAAAATCATGAAATCCAAGATGGTGGGCACTTCCCATATCGCAGTTGGGGGAAAAATTTTCATTTTGTGTTCACCTAAACAGCAGATACCTAACTGCGTCAAAAAATGTCTTCCTGGAATTTTTATTATTCTTACGTCGGGCTATCTATCGAGCACAAAGCAAAAAGGGTATGTAGAAGACGCTCAAAAGGTTGAAAATATTGCTTCCTAATGACTTGCAGTGCATCAGATAATATTTTTATAAAAATTTCGGTTATGCAGTTTTGTAGCCCAATACAGGGCAAGTTTCAAGTGGCAAAAAAATACCTTTAATTTTTTAATTTTTTTTTTGTTGATGGTGCTGCGCATTTCTTCCATATTAAAAATGTTGTCGAGCATACTTTGAATGGAAGAAAATGCATAACAAGATTTGTGTAAGTATTCGAAAAACGACTAATTTTGGAAGTGAATGACAGTTTTTCACATCAATATGTTGAACACTTGGATACCGCCCCCCACACTTACCGCTGAAACTGCACGCTATAAGTTACATTAGCGCCTCACAGGGTGTTCCGTATCTTTGGGCAAATACGACATACTTTCTTTATAATGGAATTTTTCACACGCATATGTTGGTTCGATTTTAATCTTTGCCGTAAAATTTATCAAATATTTTGTGAATGCTATGCGTATAATTGCGGTAGAATGTTTACTCCCATTTTGCTCGCTTCATTCAGTTTGACATTGCCTGCTTTCATTTCTCCTTGAGGCATTTGCTATGAATGCATATGTGCAAACATTTCATGGTTAGATACATACATATGTATGTACATATTTATGCATGCAGTGCTTTTGTATGGGGTCACAACTAGCAGAAACTTACTGAAATTGTTTTCCTATATAGTTATATAACTTTCTAGGTGCACCACTATAAATACGGTGTGCAGAACTTCAAACAGCATCAGTTAAACTACAACAATCAACACTTATAATCATAGTCGTTTCATCGTTTTATCACGAGACATGAAAGTAATTACTCTACTTCTATTTGTCATTTTGGCCTCCGTGGTCCTTGAGGCGAATGGATTCTTCCTATTTTCTAACAACAATTGCAATTGCAAGCCTGTCAAAAAATGTGTTGAAATTTATAAAATAATACCGATTATAAATAAAAATCATGGTAAACAGAATAGTACCAGCACCAGCTCTACCTCCACTAGCACTGAATCCACCTCTTCCACTTCTTCGACCTCTTCCACTACTTCGACTACTTCGACTACTAGTACAACGTCTAGTACTTCGACAACATCAACAACAGAGGCATCAGCAGAAGCAGGTCGATAGAATGTTATAAGAAAGTCATATTCACAGCTCTCAAGGAAAGCGGCGCATCGATTAAGGAATAATTAAATTTTTATTGGAAAAAAAATAAAAGAATCTATTTAAAACAACTTTCGCATTTTAATTTTTAAACTTGTAGAGATAACCTGCATGAAAAAAAAAATACTAAAAACCAACGCGACTTTCTGGCAACTTCGAAATTGCACATTGTTATACTATAATTGAATGGCCTATAAAACTGCGTACTTGGAATTTTTTCTGAATAGGAAGTTGCTAATTAGTAGATATGCAAATTTATTGAATTTTCGTGAGCTTAGCGCAAAGTTTAGGTATTTTATTTTTATGGGTTTTTGTGTAATATGAACTATATTTCTATAAAAAATCACTGGGAATAAATTAGAAAGAAAAACGTTCCATATTCATACATATATATTGGGGAAAATTCTCTGTGCAAAATTTGCGTTCGTCACTGTATATAAAAATGAATCATGGCTTGTTGGGATGTTTAAAAGTTGAAAACGACAGGACCAAATTGGATAGGGGGTCTGTTCGTAATTGCTACCCGAAGGTTTAGAAGAAAATTTAGAGAGTTGCCACCTGTTTGAAAATTTCAATATAAGTAAATTTATGTAACATAATATAAGTCAATATTAAAATATGGCTTTCAAAATAAAGAGGCACACATTCGAAAATAATTTTTAGGAGGGTGGTAACCAGTTTGAAGGTTTTAATTTAAATAAATTGTTAAGATAAATTATATATTTCAAAAAGCGCACCACGCAAACTTCGTCGCACTAAAAACTGTTATTTTTTTTAAACATATTGGCCCAACATTGTCACAAGCAATGCATGTTTACGACTTGCAGGAGCACATTTATCTGATCTGTTTATTGGTTTGTGGTCGACAGAAGGCATAACCTCCAAGTTTTGGCAATTCTCCAATGATCAGTTATATCAAATTCCAATACTTTGGCAAAAGCATTTCCGAGATAAGCGGTATGATAATTTCAGTATATATGTCCTTTCCAATAACCCCATTTTTTCATAAGTATTGGATTGACAGCGCATATCCACAACCCATGAACGAACGAACAAGATCACGCAGGACGACCTGCGAGAAAAAAGAAATTTTTTCGCAATGACGTAATTTTTCGCCGCCATGTAAATGAAAAGGAATGAAACCATGTGGGTGAATGAAACAACCGATTAAAAAATGATATCATAAATTAAAATGCAATTAAAAATACACGGTTGCCGTGCTGGGGGATCTGTTCAGTTGGTATTTTCCATAACATACCAACTCTTGGCTAAAATACAATTTAAAATGCCGAAAATTAGCAGAAAACCTAAGTCAATACAGTTAGTGGGTGAAATTCATTCATTTTATTCGCGTATTTTTTATACCCGAGCGCACTTGTGCACAAGAATATATTAACTTTGTTCGCATAACGGTTGTTTGTAACAGCCAAAACGAATCGAGATAGATATAGACCATTGTATACATAAATAATCAGAATGAAAAGAGAAGTCGATTAAGCCATGTCTGTCTGTCCGTCCGTCTGTCCGTCTCGATACGAAATTTGGTACGTAGGTTGCCCTTTATCCAAGGTAGGTTGGTATTGAAAATGGGCGAAATCGGTCTGTAACCACGCCCACTTCCCATATAACGGTATTTTCGAAAAATGCACGAACTCACTTTCAGTAAATATTAGAAGCAAATTGTTGAAAATTAGTATGTGGAGTAGAATTGTATTTAAAAATAATAATATTATTCTGTTTCTGTAAATTACTGTTATATGGCAGGTGGGCGTGGCCCGATTTCAAAGATTTTTAGCAGATTTGTTTTATATAGCCTAAGCAAGACTCATACCGAGTTTGGTAGGAATTGGTGAAGCGGATACTGAGATACAGCATTTCATGATAACTGGGCGCAGCCACTCCCATTTTCCAAAAATTTCATAATAATCCTAATTTGTTCCAAAATCGTACTTCGCATACCAATTTTCAACAATTCGGATACAATATTTACTGAAATATCGTAGATTTATCTATATTGACATTTATTCTCTATATTTAAACGTTACTTCGAAGACAGTCATGGAATGTAGACGTACTCTAAATGAGCTGGCAAGGAGTTACTTTACTCAAGTTGTATGGGTACCAGGTCGTAGGGGCATACCAGGCAACTGTGTTTCGGACGAGCTGGCGATCAGTACCGCTCGTAATGCGGGTATTCCGCTATCATCCTGTTAACTCTGGCTGCAGAATAACTTTATCGAACGGGCAAATGTAAGATGGTCCGCGGAGCCCACGTGCAGGATAGCAAGTCACATCTGGCCTAGGTTAGATAAGCGTAGATCTCGCCCTCTCTTCCGTTTGAAGCGACCAATGCTGCGCCATGTTATTGGAATTCTTACCGGGCACTGCCTTATGGGGACCAACGCTGCCAGGATGGGTTTGCAGCCCAACGATTACTGTCGTAGCTGTCGGGATGAGGAGGAAATCGAGATCGCATTGGCAAGAGCTCGTCGTCGCTTGCTCCTTCGCTATTCATTCGAGTGTCTGTCTGAACTGGATTTGGCCAGTATCTACGATTTTGTGTGCTTCTTCAGAACTACAAATTGGTTCAATTTCTGATGTAGGAGGAGGGACGCTGGGAGTCTCAAATATGGTATCACAATAGGCCCATGGAGTCCTAAGTGTGCCCTTTTCCTCTACGGATAAGGGCAGCCAGGATAACCTAACCTAACCAAACCACGTACAGTAAGTGTTCGACTGTCTCTTTTGAGCCAGGGTTATCGCAACTGTGACAGAACCTATTGAAGGACAATCCAATCTTTTCGGTATGTACCCCAACGGGCCAGTACCCTGTGCACGCTGCAGTAAGTTTGTAGGTATCTTCTTTTCTCATTCCTAAGAGAGCTTGAGTTTAATGTGCGTCGTAGGACACCCAGAACTATTGGGTAAAGTGTGTACGATCCTGCACAATTCCACCACTGTTTGGCCTTGAAGTGATAAATTTCGGTAATTTTTGCGAGGGACACATTCGGGGCAGACCCGCTGTCTTGTTCCCGTAAATGTTCTTATGTCCTGAGACCCATATTAGGGTAATTTGGTATTGATCAGAGATATAGCGCCCTACATTCCTCCACTAGTTGAAATCTAACAGAGGTACAAGAGAGTGCTTGGCTATTCGAGAAGATGTTCAGATGAATATGAGGGGAAAAAAATTATAGGTAATGTTTTTGTTAAGAGTTTTCGCACTAAATATGCAAGAATATCGATTGAATGACATTTTAAAGGAAATTCCATGATTCGTAAAGATAACTTAGCCATTTCCATTTGAAGATGCCTCAAAAAACATGAATTTGCATGAGATTCCGAGCCCCAGTTATTATTATTATAAAGCTAGAAAATCCCCAGCGTGAAGCAAGATCCTTAAAAGTATTTTTGTATTGTTACTTCCTCCCAAAACTCGTATGTCATAAAAAATTAAATAGATTTGAAGAAGTGAGATTTTCCAAAAAAAATTTTTGATTAAAAAAAAATCATTTTTTTCTTTTTGAATAAGGGTGTTAGTTAGTGATATATGTTCGAAAGTATTTAATACTGAAAATTTAATTCATACTGTTATATCTCGATTTTACATATCGTGCGCTTTCTTAGAAAGCGTATTAGTTTTTTAATGAAATTAAATGGAAAGAATTTTTCAATTACGTGGTAAACCGCTACAAAAATATTTTCGTTAGTAAACGTTCTTAAACCTCTTTAGTTTGACACCCATACTAAAATATGTTATTTAGGTTATCAATTTAAAAATTAAAAAAGAAATGCAAACAGGTGGCAATGCACCTCAAAAATATTTTTGGAAATAAACTTTACCAAAGCTCTTTAGTTTGATAGCCATATTGCAATATTTATCAAATTTTAGTTTTCAAACAGGTGGCAATTTTCCACAAAATGATTTTCGACTGTAAGCCTTCTTAAACCTTTTTCATTTGACGGCCATATTGCAATATTTACTTTATCTTATAATTTACTTAAATTGGAAATTTCAAACAGGTGGCAACTCTCCTATACTTTCTATATTTTAACATAGACCTTTAGAAATGCATTGGTATGTTTAGGTTAAGACTCGTCGGACCGGAGGAAGACCATCTATCTATGGTCTATAATGGTTTACTCCCTACCACAAGTGAATACTTTTTCAGCAAAGAAAAAAAACTGAGTTCATCAAGCAAATCATAAAAAAGACTGAAAGGTCTATATAAATGTTCAAACATCTAATTGGGACATATTGTCCGAATATAAACCTCTTTTGTGACCATATGTTCCAGCATAATGAAAGGACTTAATAATTTTTAAAGTATGCAGAACGTATTTGTTTAAACATTATTTTCACATTTTAAAAAAAGATGTCACAAAAGTAATGGGAGAGCGAAAATAATCCTCCGTCGCGAATGAGTTAACTCATTTATCGTCGTTGATAAAACTTTCCTGCTGAAATTAAAATGCAGACACATATGGAAATATACATAACTACGTGTTAGTGCGATCACAGCTTATTTTTTAGCTGCGGATCAAACATTTTTCCAAAGTATTATTTGCCCCCATTTTTCTTGCTCGTAGCTCTGTTTGACATTGTACGCTTTCATTTCTCCCTGAAGCATTTGTTATGAATGCATATGTGCAAACATTTCGTAGGTATATACATATGTATGTATGTATGTTTATATTTATGCATGCAGTGCTTTTGTATAGGGGGGTCACAACTAACAAAAACTTACTGAAATTGTTTTCCTATATAGTTATATAACTTTCTAGGTGCACCACTATAAATATGGCGTGCAAAACTTCAAACAGCATCAGTTAAACTACAACAATCAACACTTATAATCCTAGTCGTTTCATCGTTTTATCACGAGACATGAAAGTAATTACTCTACTTCTATCTGTCATTTTGGCCTCTGTGGTCCTTGAGGCGAATGGATTCTTCCTATTTTCTAACAACAATTGCAACTGCAAGCCCGTCAAAAAATGTGTTGAAATTTATAAAATAATACCAATTATAAATAAAAATCATGGTAAACAGAATAGTACCAGCACCAGCTCTACCTCCACTAGCACTGAGTCCACCTCTTCCACTTCTTCGACCTCTTCCACTACTTCGACTACTTCGACTACTAGTTCAACGTCTAGTACTTCGACAACATCAACAACAGAGGCATCAACAGCAGCAGGTCGATAGAATGTTATAAGAAAGTCGTATTCACAGCTGTCAAGGAAAGCGGCGCATCGATTAAGGAATAATTTCAAACCGATACAAGGAATAATAAAAGCAACTATTTAATATAATTTTCGTATTTTAATTTTAAAACTTTTAGGGAGATCCAAAAATGTCGATAATGTATGCGTATATATTAACCAAGAAGATTGTGGAGACGTGCAACATATCGCACACCGTCTTCAAAGGAGTCACAACTCAAAATTTGGCATTTTTGAGATTACCTTTCAGCAAAAGTTGGAGCAATCTTAAAATTTAAAAATAAGGTAGACAAAGCAACTCAAGCAACAAAATAATAGTTTTAGCCAATGAAACGACTAATATTTTTAGCGTTGAGCTATCTTCTATTTGCGCTACATAGCAAAAGTTTTTACTCCACCCAAGAGACATGCAAATTTGGCGATTTAGGAAATTTTGAAAAATAGTAAGATTTCAATACTGTTTTGTGCAACCAAGCGTGCGTAGTACTTTTTCATCAATTAATATTTTCTAGTTTCTAAAGTTTGTACAACTTTATACAACCTAAATAATCAAATTTTGCAATACTTTTTTAACCAACTTTATGATGAGCTAGAGTCTTTAAACTTAAAACTTAGCTCAGAACCCGATGACTATGCAATATGTGGGCGGCGCAGAAGATATTTGACTACTCCGTATTTATGGTCCGACATGGTTTATATTTAGAATGTACATACATATATTACATATGTACATGGAAGGCATTAGCTCCACATAAATTTTGCTCCTCTAGGTGGCGCAGAAGTGTTTCTTGCTTTTCCAAGTTTTTTAAGAAAGCAAAGCAAATGGGTCTGGTGGTAAACGAGAACAATACGAGGTATGCGTATCCTGCTATCAAAGAAAACTTCGTTTACTTGCAAACCAGAATTAACACCGATAATAATGTCAGCTCCGAAATCTTACGCAGAATCCCTCTTGCCAAAAATGTTTACGTTCATTTATTTTTAGGCCTTTCACTACCGTACTATAAGCAGCGTACTAACACAATTTTAGGTATTTTTTCGGATAGATATAATCAATTTATACATAGTATAAAGGAAAGTCGAGATTTTTTGTACGCGGTAAGCTCGTAAACTACTGAACGGATTTTGACGATATTTTCTCTAGCGTACTCAGTATCGACAGGTGAGGAATCTTTTTTTACTTCGAATTTTAATAGGGTTGCCATCTGTCTAAAAAACGATAAGATCCGCACCGTTCGTTGGATTACAAAAGATGAGGTATCAAATGAAAGGGATTGGCCTCTAGAAAACATTAAAATATATTTTTTTAATGGGGTTGCCACCCCATATATAGAAAAATTTTTTATAAGGCGAAATTTAACGAAATTAGTGGTAAAAATCGAAATTGTATATATATTTAGTTTAAATGGCGTTTACCTAAAATTTGTTTCGAAAAATGGTTAAAGTAAATACGTCGTAAATAAGTTATTAAAATTATTTTTGAATTTTCATCTATCCTTTTCTAGTCGCTCAAGTAATTTCCGAGATATTAAAGATGTAAAAAATATGAAAGTATAAGTTTACTCCGTTATATATTCTTAGTTTTTTATTTAGCCCAAATAATTTGGTATGGTATGGTTGAAATCAGCGTGAAACGTTCTATCGATCTGCATTTTTTGTTTTTGTAGCTAAACGGTCGGTATTGTAGCTAGAATCAGCTGTTCGCATGTGACACCAGATGAAACCCAATTTTCATTACCTTGACAACATTTGATGTCAAATACGACCTAATGAAAACCAAGCTTTACGTTGCGTATCTAATTTGTCTCATAACCAATATTTATATGTGCGCATACAAGTGTTTAAGGTGGTATTTTGTCTTTTTCTATACCCTCTTCGTTCTAAATACATTTATGTTATTCTGTTTGCCTTTATCTTTATACTCTACTGTTTTCATAAAAGTAAAGTGCTTAAGTTTACCTTGGCCTTCATCTTTGTTTTTATCCACATATTCACCTATCACGATGACGTGATAAGATGTTACGTGAGGTGATGCGTGACGGCAATGCGATGCAATGTGATGTGATTTCATGTGATTTAATATGAACTGATGCGATAGGATGTCATGTCAAGCAAAATGATGTCATATCATGTGATGTTCTGTCATATGATGTCATATCATGTGCACCGATAACAAAATCTATAGAAACATCAATACATATAACGACAACATAATAGATAACAAAATCGATAAAAAATATCGTTTGCAAAACCGATAAAAAAGTCAATAATAAGACCGGTGGAAATATCGATAACAAATATCGATGATAAAATCGATAAAAACTTCGATAGCCAAACCGATAAAAAATAACAAAATCAATAAAAATATCGATGAAAAAATCGATAAAATATATTGATTATTATATCGATATCTTACCTTTCTGTTCATCTACATATTCACCTTTGCCCTTCTGTAAGTAAAGTTTTTAAATGCAAGCTCAAAAAATTCGGTTAGGAACGCTGGAATGGAGATAGTTCTAAAATATTGTATTTTAGTACAGGCAAATTCTGTCCCAGGATTTTTGTTTTCAAAACTGTATGTGCAAAAATAAGGTAGGATTCTTAATGCCACCACCCCCTAGAATTATTCTATACAGACAAAAATATACCCCACATTTTTTATTTTTAAATAAAAAAAAATAAAAATTAGGGAGTGCTCAAAGCGATCAAAGTCTTCCATGTTTTTATATGCGGAAAAACAACTTTTTGTGGAAATTGTAGAATTCTTGAAAATCCATATTTTTCGATCGAAAGACTTTGCTTATCTTCAGGATATTCCCAGTAATAATACCCAATGGTTTCTTGAACCATTTGTTCATGGTAACTATATTTTATAGGTCCTCCAAAACCCCCAGAAAACGCAAGGGGGGGACCAATAAAAAATATTTAATATTAAAAAATGGTTAAAAAAACGATTGGATATTAATATTGGAAGTCTCCTGAAGAGAACCACAGTTTTTCAATCGAAAAATATTAATTTTCAAGAATTTTATACCATTTCAACGAAAAGTGGGTTTTTCCCCATATAAAATGCATGGAAAACTTTGAGCGCTGTGAGCACTCCTTAAATATTTTATGATTTGAAAAAAAAAAACAAATAGGGGTATATTTTTTTAGATTCAATCCTTTATTGTTTTTGGACCACTTTACTATACATACATGACTATATTCTCAATTTTGATTGCATGCGAGGCACAAGAGAAACGAACGCCCACCGCATACATTGGATGTCATCGGCATCCCTGCTACCAAGGAAAGCTACCAGTTGAGAACCAGAATGCTACCAGTTTGCGTATGTATGTTTCATTGAGCCTTAAAATGCTTACTTTCGTAATGCTAAATAAATTATAATTTAAACATAAGCATTCGCGTAAATTGTAAATAGGAAAAGCCCTTCCAGGAGGCATGCAGAGAAGCACTTTTTCCGCCCTTATTGGGTAAAGGCTCGGTTATTCATACTTGGCATTGCATGAGAGTTGTCACATAAGGAATCTGTTAAATGTCTGTTGGTTTTTGATTTCTACGTAAAAATGACATTCTATGCAATGCAGTGAAAACCTATAATTGTTTTAGAATGGCTTCACTTAAGATAGCCTACCTAAATTATCTTCTCGTTATGCATATACTAAATGTAAAAAATAATCATGAAGAGCATTGTGGGATATTTGGACATTTGCTAATGGTGAAAGGCAAGCATTCAAGACCACCTCAAAGGCACCAAATATTTATCCAAGTTACATTAGAAAAAAGAGAAAATTTGTTCTTTTATGATTCAAAACATGCAAAGTTCGAGCGTTTCATACAACCACATCATCATTGATCACTCAGCTCTATGGATTGTGCCACGAAACTACATTGCTTATAATAACAGAAATGACTTCGAAATAATGCAATGGCAGAACCAAATCAACTGCACTTATAAAAAATATATTAGCACCATATTCACTTCCATCTTCGTTTTTGATTTGGATGATAAATGTCCTGGTCGATGGGTTCAGGCTTATGGCAGCCCTAATCTATATGCACATATGTATGTATGCATCCACGACCAATAGTCTAAAACATTATTATGTGATATCATTTCGAATTCGAATGATAAAAACCTAGTATTTATGTTCAGAAGCAGCGAAGCGATCCGGGCTAATGCATACACATAAATGGTAAATATTTAAATACACAGCTTTGCTTTCGATCGCATATTTTTTATTGAGTCATCGCTGTAGTATTATCTATAACATTTTTTTTGTTGTTTTTTTTTTTTTAGAATAGTTTGGTATGCCTAATCGTTTAATGTACATTTCGTGCTTACTTCCCAATTGTTATGACTTCCTTGTATACTCTGTTTAACCTCGGCGGTTTCTTCTATTTCCACGCCTGGAACCAGCAGCAATGGCAGCGATAACACCTGTTCTTCTGTTATTGTTTGAGCTTCTGTTTGAGTTTCTGTTACTACTACTACTACCCGACCTTGAATTGCGATTTGATCGGTTGCTATTTAAGCCATTCCTCCTAATAACGCGGATTCTTTGAGAATTACCATTGCTGGAACTTGATCCTCTTCGGATTCTAACTCTCCTTGACTGATTGTTATTGTTGTTGTTGTTATTATTTGTAGAGGTCGGACTACTAGATGTAGGGCTCGTGGTTGTTGGCGAAGTAGATAATAAATTAGTTGTTGTTTGAGAATTAATCATCACCACCAGTGCGAGTAAAAGTAGAGTCGATACAAGCAGATATTTCGCCATTGTCAGATTATTTATTTGTACTGATATATATTTTTTCGGATTGAAAGAAACACTTAATGTTGATAAGAACTGATTTTGTTCTGTGCTCAATTGAATATTTTCGGCGATTTATATACCAACGCAGTCTTAATTGCCCAACCCCACTTTTCCAACTTTTTTACATTACATTTCTGTATACTCATTCTAATTGTATTGTTTGTGTCAGTGTTAGTATTGGCAATAGTTT